AAGTCCCTAGCCCGAAGTATCGGACTTTGTCGAAATTTGGAAGTTAAAGGCTTAATGAAATGGAAATGTTTGACCCATAGTTGGCTTTTTGGATAACTGGTTTGTATTTTAGTTCCGGAACCCGGTATAGGTCCAATACCATATTTATGACTTGTCTGTGAAATTTGGTGAGAAACGGAGGTTGTTTGACGTGATTCGGGCGTGCGGTTGTAAAAATAGAAGTTTCAAAGTTTTCTGGAAAATTTCATTTGATTTGGTGTTCAATTCGTAGTTCTAGGAGTTATTTTGGCATTTTGATCGTGCGAGCAAGTTTGTATGATATTTTTAGACTTGTGTGCAATTTTGGTTTAGAGCCCCGAGGGCTCGGGTAAGTTTCGGATAGGCCACGGAGTGAAATTGCACTTAGAGCATTGCTGGTTCTGCGGGGAGCCAGTGATCGCATTTGTGGTCAAGTCTTCGCATTTGCGAAAGGGAGCTGGGTCGGGCAGTGGTTGCAATTGCGATCAAACGGTCGCAATGTCGAATTGGTCAGTGTTCGCATTAGTGAACTTTTTATCGCAAATGCGATGAATGCAGAGGTGTGGGAGTCTTCGCAAATGCGATGGATTTTCTCGCATTTGCGGGCTTCGCATTTGCGAAGCCCAGGTCGCAAATGCGACATCTGCAACTGAACAAAATATGACTTAGACGAGATTTTTTGTTCATTCTTCAAATTTTCAAACTCAAGAACCCTAGGGGAGATTTTCCAAAGAACTTTTCTTCCCCAAATTATTGGTAAGTGATTCTAAACTAGGTTCTTTCAATCTTTCACTACTTTTCGTAAGATTTCAATCTAAAATCTAGAGTTTTCATGGTGGGAATTGGGGGTTTTTAGGTAGAAATTAGGGATTTGGTGAATTGGGGATTTAGACCTCAAATTGAGGTTGGATTCCAAAACAAATCACATAACCGGGCTCGGGGGTGAATGGGTAATCGCGTTTTGGTCCGAATCTCGAGTTTGGACCAAGCGGGCCCGGGTGTTGACTTTTTCAATAATGACCTAAATTGAATTCTTTACAATCGTGGGTAGTTGCTAAGGCTTAATGTGAATCGTTTGGTTGGTAAACTGTTAGATTCTATTGGTTCGGAGACTTGTTTGAAAGGCAAAACAGTGGTTGAGCTTTGAGCTTGGTCGTTGGAGCGAGGTAAATGTCGTGATTAACCTTAACTTGAGTGATTAAGACTTATTTGTCTATTTTCTACGTGTTTAAATGTTGGGTACAACGTATAGGTGAGGTGACGAGTACCTATGTGTTGTTGTTGGGTTAAATCATGCGGGTGGGACTTGATTTCTTGTAATTGTTGCTTTCTTTGATAATTTTATCCATGTTTAGACTAGTATGATTAAGTTGATCGTTCTTATCATGTTTACGGATCCTTTGGTGATAATTGAGTATTGGTTTCGAAGTTGAGGTTGGTATTTTGGAACCAAATGTTGAAGTAAGACTTGTTCTTGTTATTTCTATCTCCCTGTTGTCTTTTGTTCTTTGCTTTATGGTAAGGGAGAGTGTTAATGCACGAAGGGTGATGTCGTGCCATGTTATGAGAGAGTAAAAGCATGAAGGGTGATACCGTGCCATATTGTGAGTGTTAAAAGCATGAAGGGTGATGCCCTGCCATGTTATGAGAGTTAATGCATGAAGGGTGATGCCATGCCGCTTCTATTGATTATATGGTGAGGTTGAGAGTAAAAGTACGGAAGGTGATGCCGAGCATTTTCCATTACTGTGTTTACTTGTTATTATTGGTTCAAGGTATATTGGTTGATCAAGTTCTCATTACTGTTGTGATTCTCTATCTTGTAATCCCCTCAGCATGCCCGCCCCCCTCCCGATATTACCTGTCTATCTTTTACTTGTCGTTATTTTGTACATATACTATTAAATTGCACAGGTTTATTATATGGGTATCTTGTCATAGCCTTGTCACTACTTCGACGAGGTTAGGCTCGACACTTACCAGTACATGGGGTCGGTTGTACTGATACTACTCTGCACTTCTGTGCAGATTTTGGGTACCGGCCCTAGCTGATCGTGAGGTTAGCAGCCGGACTTGATCGTCAGGAGACCAAGGTAGATCTGCTGGCGTCCGCAGATCCTGGAGTCTCCTCCTAGACTTATTACTTTACTGTTTCTTTCTCTTTCAGAACAGTGTATCTTCTTTCAGACTCTATCTGTAGTAAATCGTAGTAGCTCGTGAGTTGTGACTCCGGATCCTAAATGTTTCAGATATTTCGGGTTTATGTTATTCCGCAAAACTGTTTTAGTTTCTTTTTAGCTTAACTGTTCTTACTATTGAAATTGACTGAAGTTGACTTGAGAATTCTCTAACGTTAGCTTGCCTAGCAAGTAAAATGTTTGGCGCCATCACGGTCCCGAATGTGAGAATTCGAGGTCGTGACAAATATGCTTACGACCAAGTAAGTTATCCCTGTTGCCCTTCTCACTTGAAGAATTTACACAATCTCTTTTAATTATTTTTTACCTTAAATATTTTGAAATGTGCAGAACAATATTGTATACATGCAAAGTGCGATTATAGTGACTACTTTAATGTCTATTTATGGCTTTATGCAAAGGGTACGTTCTCTTTCTTTTTTCTTTGATTTGTTTAAAAATTCAACGCAAATAATAGTTCATCATTTTTCGAAGTTTTTGTCGAGATACATTAATTAAGGAGAGGGGTAAAGAGATGGATAAGAAAATTTTGCTTTGCAAATAGGTAAATAACGAATTTTGATTACAGTCGTATTCTTTCAACATGAAATGAGAAATTGATTCTTCATTATTAATATTTTTGAAATTCGTCTTGGCAATAGAAGTTCTAATTCTGAAATAAGAGTTCTGGCAGATGACTGTTTTCACGAGCCAACAACTTTCAGAACAAAAATAAGAACATTTTTTCACTTCATTTGCACTGTAAACATTATATTTTATTTAACCTAAATTGTTATGCATGGCACTTATTTAGTGAAATTTGAGTACTAAAGTGAATGACTGTAATATTACACGATATGCTACATAAGAGATATCATATTTCTAATTTTGTATAATAATTCTGGTTGCCATGCGAAATTCTCAAGTCAACGAATTTTTGTTCTTCTTTCTCTTACTGATTGTGTTATCATACCATCGGCACGTATTCGGATTTTAAAAAGGCTTAATCTTGGTTAAGAAAATAATTGTTTTTTTCAAATGCTATTTAGTAGTAGATGCTAGTGGTAATTTTGAGCATTGTCTTTTGTAGGTTTTGTCCTTCTGGGTCTGTAGTTTTAGCAATTCATGATGGAAGTGATGTGTTGTGAAATCTGCAAAGCTGATAAAATTAGAGGGGCTTCAGTATGATTTCCTATATTTTCTTCTTTATTTGTATCGTCTTGGTTTTTACTTTGTTAAAGATACTATACATTAATAATTTGTTGGTTCAGGAAACTGTAACAGACATTGCAAAAATAAAGCTTTTATGGGTATTGAGTGGAGATCAGATCTTCAACAAGACTCTCATCTTTTCCTAGATGTCTTTCATTTGGTTTCATTTATAATATGTTCATCCTAAATTCTATTATTTAATGTATTGAAGTTTACCTTTTTCAAAGATTTGAGAAAGATGTCATTTCCAGGGCCTAGAGTTTAAAATTATGCAATTTATGTCAGGAAGAGATGTTCAAGTTCCTCATATTGGAGGTACATTGTGCAATTTTCAAGTTGTCATGTGTAGAAAGGTAAGTTGTAGTGACTATACTTTGTAGAATTAATTTATGTGTCATTTCATATGGCTCATCAACTACATCAAATTCAAAAAGTTTATCTACTTAATAAAAAAAGTCATATTATCAGTGCATGAATTGATTGAGTTATTCTTTTTGCAACAATTGATTAGCTTCCACTTTATGATTTCTTCATAGAGTTGGTTACCAAAATTTTTAACATTAAGCATGGATCAATTCAATTTCGTATTTCACCGAGGGTTTTGTCAAAAGAACTAGAATTTTAAATATGATATTATTTAAATTATAGGTAACTAACTGGAAAAAATAATTGTCGATAAAATAAATAAAAAAAATGCACAAAGCAGGAGATAGAAATACTGACGATGTTATATTTTAATTTTAAAAATAAGATGAAGTAAATCAAAACAATATTATTGATTATCGATAAATGATCGTGGAAATTTATTAAAACAATACAATTTAATAAACCCGATCACAATGTAATATTCTTTTATACGATACATATACTAGTTAGATTTAAATTCATAATTATAAAATTATAATGAATTCAACGCTAATATAAAGGTCGAAATCATCAAGGTTAAATCCTGAATTAGGCATGAAGGCTGGTCACTAAAAACTAAAACAAAGATACTAAAAAAGTTGTGTTACTTTTGCAGCAGCACTCGCATTATCTTAATAAATTTGTGTGGAGTTGGGACACGAAAGCATATCCTCAATAGGTTATTTTACAAGCGAAAAGCTCAAGAAAGGAGAAAGCCTTTTTTGCTTTAAGAGTAGTAGTGTTAGTTTAAGATTAATATAGGCCGACATAATAACGACATTCTGAGGCCAAATATGACAAAATCAACGGAGCAGTGTGTGCTAAATGCAAAGTTGAGAAACTGTGAAGCCTTTCTTCAAAGGCAATTGCATTTTTGCATGACAACACTTTGTCTACACCACCAACTACTAAAGTCCTTCTCACTAATCTTAATTACTACTCAAAAAGCTGTGGGATCCAATAGCAGTTTTACCTGAAAAGTTGATGTCATGTAGTTAAGTCCTTGGCACTCTTCATGACTCAATTGAACCTTCCCACTCCCACTCTTAAAAGTAAAAAAGCACCAAATATTTGGTGATAACTCCAACTCGATGGCCACATCATCGATCCAATTACACCTTAGGACGTTCTCCCCATGCAGTGACACTATATAAATAATGAACACTTTCTTCTTGGTCTCTCAGTGCCAGTCTCCTTTTACTAGATTTTTGTTTTGTTTAACTGGACTCTCACATCCACAGAAAACAGCAAGGATCTCCCGAATACTTTAGAACATAGAATCTGGCACTTTAAATTTTTAACCTCTTTTTTCTCCTCTATTTAGCTTCATCTGATCAACCATGAATAACCACAATGTCCAACTTTGTTCTTACTGCTATAAAGCTGTAGTATTAACATGCCTTGTCATTGTAGTCTTCGCGCCTGGAATTTCAGGTGAATGCACTTGCAACATCAAAGTTGATCAACCGCGAAACACCAAAAACACTAGTGATTCCCTCAGATACAAACTCATATCAGTAGTTTCAATACTGATTGCTGGTGCAATTGGGGTCAGTCTCCCATTTTTGGCAAGGAAAATTGAAGCTCTGAGGCCTGAAAATGATATTTTCTTCATGATCAAGGCCTTTGCTGCTGGTGTCATTCTAGCCACTGGCTTCGTCCACATATTGCCTGATGCATTTCAGATACTAACATCACCTTGCCTGCAAGGCATGAACCCTTGGGGGAAATTCCCTTTCACAGGTTTCTTTGCCATGGTCGCTTCTATTGGATGTTTGATGATTGATACATTTGCAACGAGTTTTTACCAAAAGAGGCACTTTCACATAGCTAAGCAGGTGAATATTGCGGACGAAGAAGCAGCTAGAGATGACATACAGCACAGTCATAGCCATGCCAGCCATGTCCATGGCCATGCACATGGGGCGACTTATTCCATCGGATCTGATCAAGAATTGATTCTGCCTGAAAATATACGAAATCGCATCATATCACAAGTAAGCTCCATTAGATATGTACTGCCACAGAAGAGGTTAAACTAAGTACAAGCATTTAACATTATAAACTAATGTGATTACCGCTGCTTAATCAGGTGTTGGAGCTAGGAATTCTGGTCCACTCCATAATAATTGGAGTTTCCTTAGGTGCTTCACAAAATACCCAAATGATAAAGCCTCTATTGGTTGCATTGTCATTCCACCAATTCTTTGAAGGCATGGGGCTTGGAGGCTGTATTTCACAGGTACATGATCTCTAGAAGTATTTTAATTTGTATACTATATAAAGTTTTTGACAGAATCAAAGAATATTCCAATAACATAAAGCTGACGAAGAGCTTAGGTTGGCATAAAAATAAGTGACTTGAAAAGTTTTTAATTGTTGACAACACCTAATATATATTACAATACATCTCTCTTGGTTGCATTTTCCAGGCAAAATTCAAGTCTATATCAACAGCAATCATGGCAGTTCTTTTTTCTCTCACAACGCCAGCAGGAATTGGGATTGGGATCGGAATATCGAGGGTGTATAATGCCCATAGCTCTCTTTCTCTAGTTGTCGAAGGGATTCTGAATTCTGCGTCTTCGGGGATTTTAATCTACATGGCCCTCGTTGATATACTAGCATCAGATTTTATGAATGCAAGGATGCAGAACAATGTCAGACTTCTATGCGGGGCACACATTTCACTTCTTCTTGGAGCTGGGTGCATGTCTGTGATGGCTAAATGGGCATGAATAATATTTCAACAGAATGCTTATGTTGACATTCTTTTTTGTTTACAATCTGAAAGCAGGTCGGGTAGGAACTCAGTTGTATTAGTTTCATTAATGGAGCTCACTATAATTTCTTGAATAAACAGCTATCATCAATATATCTATTACGAACTTAAAGAGTACCAGGAAAATCTAATTAGTTGCTTATGATAGAACAAGGAGAGGCACTAATATAAATAGCAAGCTGCTGGAAGATATCAATAAAGAGTGACTAATACCTAAAAGTTACACCAGGAGCAGTGAACTTCAGCAGTATCGTGCTCCTGACTAGTACAACAACAACAACAACAACCCAGTAAAATTTCACTAGTGAGGTGTGGGGAGGATAGTATGTACGCAGACCTTACCCCTACCCCGAAGGAGTAGAGAGGCTGTTTCCGGAAGACCCTCGGCTCAAGAAAATAAAAAGACAAAAGGAGAGAATATTAGTATCACCACAGAAATCGTAGGAAAAATAGGAACAATATGAATCCAGAAGAAAGATGCAAAGCAAAAGTAATAGCTAATAAATAGGTCCTGCACTGAAAAGCGAAATAGTAAGACACAACATTGCTACTAACTATCTTAGACAAAAACTCTACCAGACTAGTCATACAAAAGGTACGAAGTAAGGCAAGCCTCAACTACCTCCTAACCTACAACCCTAATACTCGACCTCCACATCTTCCTATCAAGTGTCATGTCCTCGGAAATCTGAAACCTCGCCATATCCAATATCCACCACTCTAAGCAGCAGTTCCAGCACTGACAAGAATTAGTGGCTGGCACCCCCACCCCCCCACCCCCAAAGGAAAAAAAAAACCAAAGGGTGGGGAAAGAAGGCAAAGAATTAAAAACAGTAAAAGTCTGGAACCAGAAATAAAGGCAAATGGGCAAGATAATCCATTAATTTAGGAATTGAATTAACTATGTCCCTCAAATATTACACAGAACATAAAATGTCCTCCAAGTTTGTAAATGAAGAGAACTTTAGTCCGCCAAACATATTTTGTTAGCGTAACAGAATTTAGTCAATGTTTCTGCTAACCCCAACTGCAGACTACTTTGCTGACAGCTTCGCTGCTACAACTGGCCCTGAACTCAGTCCCTATCGAAAAGGATGGTGCCAAGGATCATTTGGGGACTAAGGTAATCCAACCCTTAAACTTTAAAGATTATTTTGGGCATTTTATCCACTCAGTTGATCAGTAGATACCCAGTCCACCTTACTCAAGAGTTATAGGTTCATGAATAATTGCCTTCACAGTATCGGTCATCCCCATTGAACTGAAACCATCGTCCTTGATGTAAAAATGATGCAGCACTTTGCTCATTTTCCAAAACAAATCCTTGCAAGCACGTGGAACTATGCTGCCCTCTCCTTGCAAAACCAAGTTCAGGAGTTCTTTCCTTTGGATTTCAATTGTACGGCTCAATTCTCCAATGGCTGCTTCCTCACTTACACTGCCATTCCCATGAATGACGCGCAAGGCTACAGCATTTAGTTTTCCATCCTTAGACTCTCTCTGCAAAAATATTTTAAGAGATCAAACAACGTAGAAAATGATGAAGCAGCAAGGGAATGTCTGGTGCAGAATAATGAAGCATATATATACCTCAAAACTCCTGATGTCATTAAGAAGACGACCGCAAGTGCTCATTAACTTGAATAGACTGTGGTATTCGGGGTGTTGCACAACATCATTTGGGAGCTTGGGCCCAACAAAATAAAGTGCCGGGAGGACAATTGGTCCTAAGGCAAATGATACATAAGCATTGGCGATATATTCGTCCATCGTTGGCACAGACATATCTCTAGCCCATTCAGCTTCTCTTAACATAGCATTCAGTAGATCCGACCACTGCAAACATAATTTTAGCTTACTCATAAAATAATCAAAAGATTAACTGCAAGAATTTTCTACTTGATTTTCCAAACACAATTTGAAATAGATAAAGCCACCGGTAAACAAAGGATATTGGCGAATCTTGTAATACTGAAAGGACCAATTGCTCAATTGCTGAGGGATACTGTTTATGAGACAGAGAGCATCTTGAGTTCGACCTATATGGTAAACTATGGTGACACTAGAACATCTGTCAAGGAAACCTGGATGAAACATGGTTGAATATAAATATGTGCCCAACAGCAAGGCAGTTATGCCAAAGGTACAGTAACCAAGTATCAAGAGGAAGAGAGTTGTCTCACAGGACCAGCAAACTGGATAAAATGGGAAGCTTGAATCCCTAATAAATGTGTCATAAAAAATTGGCAGAATACATAAGCAGCCCCTTAAACTTGGCCTTTTTTTCCATCTAGACACTTAAACTAACCTCATGACCTATTGAGCACTCAATCTCTATTCAAATTGTGCCTATTAGACACTAGAAGCTGAAGCAATCCAGAAAACAAGATGTGTGTAATTCACCCTCTGATGATGTGGCAAACCAATGAAAAATAGACATGTGGCTCTTTCCCCAAAAAAACTTTAAGGCAATTTCTTATTTAAAAACAAAAAAATTGAGTATTAAAAAGGAGAAAGCAACACTGGTTTTTTCAACTCTACTCCCCCGTTCATCTTCTTCTTCCTAGAAAAGTACGTAGTTGTTTTCAAATCTCAATTAGTTTGTAGTTTATTCTGTTAGTTCATGATTTTTTTCTCCATTGGTCTTCTTTCCCAGAATGATTTCCCTTTTTTTTAAAGACTTCTTAGACCATATCGTAGATCATTCTCGGCGAGATCGTCACGTCTCATCAGCCGAATTATGGCCAAGTTCCATAGATATTGGTCAGAGTTTTTATTTTCTAACTCGGTGAACAATATTGAATCTGTTATGGTATATCAAGCAATTAATTGCAAAAAAATGCTTCTGGGTCTACATATAATGGAAGTACCAGTTAGTATTTTGGGAATAAAGCAACGAATCTTACATCACCAGTCCCAAAGAGAACAACGAGAATTCTTCAACAATTACGAAAGTAAAATAAAAATTAAAAAGAGTGATGAGCTAAAAGTTCTTCTTTGCATTTTTCTTTCTTTATTGCTGGGTGTATTCTTGAAGTTCTCTGCGAAATTCGTGTGCTGGATTCTCTTTATGGTTGTTTTAATTTGATGAAGTTATGTTATTGAAGGGGGGGGGGGGGGGGGCAATGGCCATGGTGGTTTGTAGGTTTTGAGAGAAATTTTCTGTTTTTAGGAAAAGAAAATAAGAGCAATAAGATAAAAATCAGTGGCTAGTCGTGCTTCGTAGTAGGAAATGAGATGGAGGAATGGAAAAGGGAGATCAGGAGGGTGTGGCTCCAATGGTGAATAAGAAGACTATTTCAGCTCTTTTTTAACTGGTTCCGGCGCTTAAACTAGGTGATATTCACCATCTATGCCATGTCAGCTTCTAGTGTCTAATAGGCACAATTTGAATAGAGAGATTGAGTGCTCAATAGGTCATGAGGTTAGTTTAAGTGTCTAGATGGAAAAAAGGCCAAGTTTAGGGGACTGCTTATGTATTCTGCCTAAAAAATTTCTCTTCTTAGCACGGGTAGGGCATGAGTTGATATATAGACAAAGCATAACTAACAAGGTCCACTTGTTAGAGCTCACTGCTGAGAGGAAGTGGTTGACGTCATCATTTTATAGATGTAATAGGTGTATATTAATCTTGGAAAGTCATAAACTCAACCAGGTATAGTTGTAAACGGTAAGGGAAGTGAGAGTTTACTGAAGGAAGATAAAATACTACATTGAGTTCCGTAGTTTAAACTTTGATGCTGCTTCATCTATCAGTTTTTTTTCTTGGGTTAACCATATTAACCTCCCTTCTACATTTACATAGTTTAGGAGATCTCCCTCTTAAGTTTAAAAAATGCAATAACCTCCCTCCCGGTGCAATTTTCATTGCAAAACTCCTCCTCTGTTGGTAAAGAGTTTGTCTGACCATTGGATTCGAATAACTATACGAACTAACCTGATCTTAATCTATACAGCTCATCTAATTAACTCTGTCATTTATCTTGAAAATTAGTTTCCTCACTGGGATCAATTCATCTTGTCAGATGCAATTGATTCATGAGTCATGACAGATTAGAAACATAAAGAACTTCCAATATTAAAAGATACACCTGAGAAAACAGAGTACTTATTTTAATAATAAGCATTGTGAAAATATATGAACATTAATGGTTTACGTTATGAAACATGCAGTGCTAAAGAATCTTTATCTCAATATTTACACTCTTCTAAAGATGACTGTATCTATATCATAACACTTGACCCAGTAACTATCATAGGGTCAACAATATTCTTCCTTGACTTAAGTGATTTTAATAATCTTTGATCATTTTTAAGTTAAGAAATATGTCGTCGGTATAGTTTTCTCCATAGTTTCTAAATATATAATTTCTGTTTTCAAAAGATAAACAAACCAATGTCCGACGCCAGACCAAATCTTAACCAAGATAAATGACAGTGTAATCGACATTTTCTTTTTTGTGTTTTACACTTTAATTTGGCATGACATGCCCTACTCCAGAAAAACAAAAACCTTGATTGGCATGCCATGCTGCAAACAATTTAGAATATGTGGGATAATTAAGCAATATGAATGTCATAGAGTGCAATATCTCTATTAGTTATAAAAAAGGTGAAGATTCTTACAATATCAGTTATGTCTCTTGTCGCATTACGTGCTTGCCACTTAAATGCTTCATCTCCAATCTCACAAATAGTGCTGTGAAGCGCTGAAAATATGATGCCCACATTCTGCGAACAGCAGTCAGTGCTAACATCTACATCCCACCTGCCAAAAAGACCAAGGGGTTTGAATACGACGACACTGCTGAAATCACCAAGGAATATTTATAATAATGAAAATATGACAGGAGACATGTACTTCTTAAACAACTGAATTAGGTTATTCAATTCTTCCATAGAACCTCCGACATCAAAGAAGTCATCAACCACGGTAGTAAGTACACCATTCTTGGCCCATGACATGCGGGCATCAGATAGTTCAGGATGAAAAATTGTGGCTGCAGCAGAAAAGTAGCAGTATGCAGACTTCTCTCTGGCAAACTTCAATTTGTCCAATCTGTTTCGTATTAACCACCTGTTACCACAAACAC